CCCCAGGCTTGCCTGGCCTTGACCCATTAGTGCAAAGGGGAGGCAGCTGTCCATGGTGTGGCCAAGTGCTGTACTAGATGCTAGAAATCAGAGTTGAAGCTATGTGCATCCTGGATGGGGCAAGGTGACAAATGAAGCCACCTTCCAAGGATGCTCGGAGCAAGGTAAAAATATCCATTTTTTTTTCTTTTAGAGGCATCCTAGAGTCAACTTATATAAGGAGTAACCTCACCTAAGCTTTCCAGTCTTGCTCCAGGGTTGGCAGCCTGCTTGGAATTCCTCCTGCCACAGGGGCCTTTGTGTGCACTAGGCAAATAATCTCCACACTTGCTTGCCAAAGTGAACTTATAGTCTTCCTTTGAATATCTCAATTCAACAATCAGTTTCTCCGCAAACTCCCTTTATACTCCAGTCCCAAACCAGTTTTTAAAAAATGCATTTGAAGAATTAAATTCTCTTCTCTTACAGAGCTTGTCTCAGTTCACAGTGAAATACTCAGTGGTGTTCTTATGTGTGTATCCTATCATTCTGAAAATTCAATTTTGTTTCTTTTTCTCTTTTCTATCGTCAGGTTTAGTGCAGTACCAGGCACAAGACCTGGTCCCAGTGCCTTCACTTTTACAAGATAAAATTCATGTTGGACTAAGAATTGGCTGATGAATTCTTAGCTCCCCCGACAAACAAAGAGTTCAAAGGATTCTGGGTATAACATGGTTTTCAAAAAAGAAACAATAACATATGTGTGTATGTTGGGAACAGGATGCATGCATGTGTGTGTCTGTGCATGCATTTCTGTATCCAGGGTAGACAAGCCGATGCATAAACATGGATCCAGAAAAGGATATTGGGTATCCTGATTTATCACTTTCTGTTGTGTTCCCTTGAGACAAGTTCTCTTACTGAACCCAAAGCTTCCTGATTTGGCTGGGCTAGTGGGCCAGCAAGCCCTTGGGATCTGCCTGTGTCTGCCACCCCTACCCCCAGAGCAGGTGTTAAAATCATGCCCAGTTTTTAAGTTGAGGATTCAAAGTTGGGTCCTCATGTTTCTGCAGCAAATGTTCTTACCCACTGAGCATCTCCCTGTTCCCAAAGAAACTGTGTTAAGAGCAAGCTTTGCTTATTAAAACTTGCTCTAGGAAATTACTAACCTAGCAATGACTTCCAGGTTTTCTGACTTCCAAGTCTTTATTGGTAAATAGAATGGTAGAGACTTAGTTAACAACTACATTTGGTGGCAGGGGCAGAGCCAGTGCCTGCAGGACCAGAAATCCTATCAGGCTACAGCCTGATCAGCAGAGTGCTAACTGTGGGGTAGTAGGGCCTACAGACAGTGGTTCAAATATCAGTAGATTCAGGTGTAGCCACTAAGCCAATGGAAAAACAACATTGATCATTTGCTAAGTAAGGCATTTCTCTAAGTGTGTGTGTGTGTGTGTGTGTGTGTGTGTGTGTGTGTGTGTGTGTGTGAGAGAGAGAGAGAGAGAGAGAGAGACAGAGAGAGAGACAGAGACACACAGAGAGACACAGAGAGACACACACAGAGAAAGTCAGTATCACAACCTCACAATTCTTTGGTAGAGTTCTTCCCTATGGAGGATGAGGTGGAGAATGGGTGTGTAGGTAAATAAAAGGCATGTTGTGAGAATGTTCACAGTCAGAAAAGTGGTGGGCCTGGGTGAGAGAACTCTATTCTTTCCAGACTCTAAATCCTGTGCTGTGAGCTGTGACATCAGTGTTGTGCCTGCATTTCCCCAACCAGACTTCCTTTCTATTTACCGAGTTAGTTCTTGATGTATACTTCGTAATTTAAGAGGAATTTTTAGCATCTGTGAACTCACAGGATGCGTGTTTTCTACCTCTGAGTATCACTAACACACAATTATGAAAACAGTTCATGTATTTCTTCGAAGCATCTTGTCTGCCACCCCAGTGGTTCCCACACCAGGCTTTGCAGGCATCCCAAGTCATGCTCCTGTCTCTTTGGTAGATGAAAGGCATAACAGAAGAAGATGCTAAACAGGAGGTATTTAAGACAAGGGCTGTTCTTGATACTTTTATGAGGATGTTGTGGGAAAGGGCCGCTGCCTCCTCCAGAGGTAGCTACACTTCAGTGCTGAGAGGCAAAAGGCTCTCATTTGCACACCTTCCTGCCCGGGGCAGTCTGGCTGAAAGGCACTATATAGACATCAGTTATCATCACCCACATGATGACAGTGATTATTTTACATATGGCAGCGTTAAGGGTGAGCGCTAAGGTCTCATTTGTATGCCAGCATCTGGCAGGCTGTCACACATCTGCAGAAGATAACCTAAACGGCACTATTAATATGTCCCCTTTGCATTCTCCCCAAGGCATCTGTCTCCCCAAATGCCTGAGAAAGTTCCTTTCCCTCTTGAAGGCCTGGAGGCAAAATTCAGAAAACTTGCCACCTAGGCTGGGGAAGCATACTCTCAGAGTGACAGCTGGCTGAGCCCAGGCAGATTTCTGACTCTTGGAATAGATGTGAGGAGGGAAAGGCGAGCGCCATCTACATTCATCCTATGAGCGGTTTCTTTGCCAGGAAAAATCTGTAGTCAGAGGCAGCTATTTTCAGGCTCATATAGTGTGTCACGTCTGTTCTGGGATCAATGGTAGATGTCCAGTCACAGTCCCAAAAGCCAGTTCTCAGTGTCTCCAGATGTATCTCAGTGCCAGAACCTGGTTAAAGACACCTTCCCTAAGAACCTGGGGGACTATGGGATGTCTCTGTGGTAGCTAATGAGCTGTGTACCCCTTGCACAAATATCCTTTCCATGTACGTATGTGAGTTGCATGCTGGTGTGTGGCTGTTACTCTTCAGATAACCCCACCCCTCAAAAAGACAAGATCTCCCACTAGCCCTTAACTTGCCAATAGGCTAGGATGGCTGGAGAGTGAGTCTACCTCTACCTCCCTAGTGCGGGTATTCCGAGTGGGTGGCATCACATCTGGATTATGTTTCCTGAGTTCTGGGGATGAAACTCAGGTTCTCATGATTACTGAGCAAGCCCTTTACTGACTAACCCATTTCCTCAGCTTCGCTTTAACACCTTTCAAGTTAAATTTCCAAGTTAGGTTCCATCGTGGGGAGTCTCCCGTGGCTGCACTCTGACCACCGACAATCATGTCACACTTGCTGTGCGAAGCAGCTTTCAGGTACAGAATGTTGAATCCATTGGAACACAGCAATGGGCCATTGAGGGCTCCTGCTCTCATAAAATTTACATTCTCATGGGGACAAACTAAAAATGCGCACACTAAAACATTTCAAATCCCAGTAAGCATGGCGAAGACAGCAAGAAGAATACAGCTGCAGGCAGCCACTTGGAAACTAGGGGGAGAGTCTCTAGTGAGGGCGGACTCTATGACAGGCTGGAATCAAGAACCCTGGGGACACATTTCCTGACAGAGGGGACAGCAGGTGCAAAAAGAGGAAGAACAAAGCTTAGCTGGGAATAGAAACATGGTAGGATGGCTGAAGCAGAGTGGACAAGGCAAGAGAGACATGGCAGGTGTCAGAGGGAGTCAGGGCCCAGATGGTATGGAACCTTCTAGACCCTGGGAAACAACCTAGACTTTTCAGCTCACTAGAAAGTTACTGGAGTGTTAGGTGCACAGCCAGGATGTCATGTAGATCACATGGTAACTGACAGGCAGGGTATGCGTGATGAAGGAGAAGAATCAGGCAGCCACAGGGGGTGGAGACAATGGTGGCCTGCTGTGGGATGGTCTGTATGTCAAATGTGTTGCTGATTGGTCAATAAATAAAACACTGATTGGCCAGTAGCCAGACGGGAAGTATAGACGGGACTAACAGAGAGGAGAACTGAGAGAACAGGAAGGCGGGGGTGGGGTGGGGTGGGGGAACGGGACACTGCCAGTCGCCGCCATGACAAGCAGCATGTGAAGATGCCGGTAAGCCACAAGCCACATGGCAAGGTATAGATTTATAGAAATGGATTAATTTAAGATAAAAGAACAGTTAGCAAGAAGCCTGGCATGGCCATACAGTTTGTAAGCAATATAAGTCTCTGTGTTTACTTGGTTGGGTCTGAGCAGCTGTGGGACTGGTGGGTGACAGAGATTTGTCCTGACTGTGGGCCAGGCAGGAAAATTCTAGCTACAGTAGCCAATGTCAGTGAGTGTTGGTAGGGATGGGGATGGAGGCATCTCAGCTGTCTGAGGTTCATTTTAGAGGAAGTACAGATGGCTCATGGATGAGTGGGTCTGGAAGAGCAGAATTAAGGTTGACTAGGAGCCAGTACCCAACTCTCTGAGGGCTGAGACCATGAACTGAGTTTGGAACTAGAGCTAAGAGTCAGGGTTTAGGATAGACTGGGTGGCCATACTCTAGATCAATGGTCTCAATCATCCTAATGCTGTGACCCTTTAATACAGTTCCTCATGTTGTGGTGAACCCCAACCATAAAATTATTTTCATTGCTACTTCATAACTGTAGTTTTGCTACTGTAATGAATGATAATGTAAATATCCATGTTTTTCTGATGGTCTTTGGCGGTCATGACCCACAGGTCGAGAACAGCTGCAAAGATCAGCCTTTATCACTAAATGCAAGATGAGTAGAATGAGGTCAAGAACTGACCTCACAGACACTCAGGAATCTTTTTGTCTTTTCCCCATTCTAGTTAAGTGGAAGATAAGAGTGCTTCTAGTTTTTGTTTGAGGTGCTGGGGATCGAACCTGGTGTCTTGTAGACAAGTACCGACATCCTCAGCCGCATTAGGATCATTATGTCAAGTTGCATTAGCGTCACTATTCACCACATGAATAAATGGTTTTAGGTTACATTTCAGAGCTCGCCCTACTGCCCCGTCCACAATGTAAGGATGTCCTTCCTTGACGCCAGGCATTTTCTTTTTGACAGTTCCTTCCCTTTTGCCTCTTTCTCCCCAAGCCCCTCCTACCTGGATACCCTTGAGTCAGACCAGTGGGCTGTATTGGCTCGCAAGGAAAGGATACTAAAACTCTGATTGGTTATCTCAAAGTTCCACAGATTAATCCTCAGGTCGTCAGCAGACATGTAGGTCTCGTAGTCGCTGTTGACAGATATGGAGTTGATGTGGTACGTGTGCGCATTGGCAAACACTCTTCGTGGGGTGGCCTCCACCATCAGGTCCATGGGTCTCAGGACGGGCACCTAGGATGAGAGAGGCACAGTGCTCAGGACGGAAGTGTTCATTGGCAGGAAATGGGTCGTGCTGTGCCCTTACCGCCACAGGGTAAGTCCCACCCTGAGGCCGAGAGTCACGGAAACCAGCTGCCATGCTCACCACGTTCTGGGCCTTTCAGCTGTTAACACCTGGCACTGGGGCGGTGGCAGGGGGTGGGAGGAGAGGGTGATGGTGACATTCAATCTTTATCAGCTTGAAACATTTCTCCAGTCCCCTTCAGGGGACTTGGGTTCCATTGTGGGAACACAGTCTTCCAAACTCTCACTCCCAGCCTGTTTGCTTCACAGTTTTCAATTTAAACTTTTTCATGTTTTGAGAATATTATGCACGCGGGCTATGTTTACGTCGTTTCCACTGTCCTGCTCTCTTCACTTCCTCTCACATTCATGACCTCTTCTTTGGTTATTATTGCTTCATACACAAAAACACACACACAAATATATATGCACACATTTACACACATGCACCAACCTACTGGGTTCATTTAGTGTTGCTAATATGTATTTTTTTTTTTTTTTTTTTTTTGTTAAACGAGAAATTTACTCAGGAAGGAGACTGTAGGAAAATCTTAGGAATGTGTCATTTAGCTTCAACCTCAACCCATCTTTCTGTGTCCTCATGTCATGCCCTAGTGGCCTGGGTTCCCTCCTAGTTTTACCCTTAACCTTTATGGGCACCTTTAGAAACGCATTCCATCCCTCAAGACTCTAGTGACCCCAAATGAACCATTGGTATATGAGGGCTTGTTGCATCCTGGTTGGCCTGGGCACATCTTTGTTTATACCTATTGTCCTCGAGTGCCAATTACATAGTGTCACATTCAAACTGGCCCCCGTTTGGACGGTAAATTATATGGTCACTCTTCTGAAATATAGAAGGTGTCCAGGAAGTGTTTACTGAATGACTGAGTAGAGAAAAAGTCAGTAAGTGTTTTCTTCAAGGCAGGCTGGGGAGTTAGGCCTCTGAGAGAGAGTTCTCTCTGGAAAATGTGAACAAAGACACACACTCTTCTAAACAACCCAAATAAGCAAAGCACAGGGACAGCTCTTCAATAGAAACAGGGAGACAAAGAGCCACATGGATCTTTCCCCCCCCACACTCCCACTCCCCGCCTTACAAAGACTCTTGGAGGAGCCCTGGCTAATGTGACAGCAGGTGGTAGATTAAGACTATCTTCTGAATCAACATTACCCCAGGTGGCAAGAAGGGGTGGCCCAAAGCAGGTTGGCTCCCCGAAGGGCAGTCACCTGACAGCACCTTCTAGAAGGCAGAGTTTTCCCAGTTCCACCTTAGAGTTGTTCACAGGCTCGTGTGTGTGTGTGTGTGTGTGTGTGTGTGTGTGTGTGTGTGCGCGCGCGCGCGCATATGAACAGCTCTGAGAAAACATAGAGGGAGATCTAGACAGATAAGATGCTGGGTGCCAGGAGAGAGGGAGGGGTTGATCTCTTGGGTCTCATATGCCAGGCATGGATGATGGGGATGGGGGATGATGGTTTTGCAACACATGTCGGGGAGCAGGAGGCCAGTAAGTAACCATTGACTGATGGCCTGGGATGTGCCCCATGCTCTGGTCATTGGCTAAACCTGCTCTGTCCTCTTCCTTTGGAAGATGGTCGTGGGGATTTATTGAGACAATCACTCTCCAGACCACTCACTCTTTTAGCAACACTAACTGAGCATTGTACAAAGTCCCAAAGGCTCACCCGGTAAGCACAGGACCCCGGCCTCACCATCATATGACTGCCGTAGCTGGGGGTGGGGAGTGAATGACCGCACACAACAATGGAGCCAGTGCCCCATGGAGGAGGCATAGTATATATCGGGGTCTTGAGAGGCTTCCTGAGGATGAGTGAGTGTGTGGGGACATGAAAAATGAGTAAAGGTCACCAGGCTGGCAGAAAGCAGGCTCCAGCCGGAGGAATGGGGTTGAAGTGAGGGTGGTGATAGAGCCCATTGTGAGAGCAAATGTGATAGGGTAGATTGGGGGTGAGCTGTAAGAAGGGGCTCTGTCTACCTCAAGAAGGTGGGAAGAATGGATGTGTTTGTAATGAGCCAGACATGATCCAGGTCAAGTTTTGATCAGACCTTTCTGGAGGTATAGTAGAGATGAGGTGGGCAGCTGAGGTCTGACTTAGACAGGTAAGTCTGCAGGAGTGAACACCGGCTAAGGGCTTGTGTGAGGTTTCACAGTGGATGAAACTGAGCTTCCTCCACGAACTTGGTCCCGAAACAGTTACTGAAGCATCAGTGCCCGGCCAGGCATTCTTCACATGGAATCCCAGATAATTCTTTCAACCACCGTAAAACAGGCATGGCGCAGAGTAGGGTTACACACAGGCGACAGGGGCCAAGTTACTGTCCCAGGGCAGCTGGGATATGAGAAGGCACAGACAGGATTTGATCTCAGGACCCATCTGACCACAAAGTGAGGCCTCTTTCCTCATCGACATCAGGCGGGAACCATTGTACAGGGTGGGAACTGACCATTGCTTTATAAGTGACCTGGATAAGTAGCCAGGAGGGTTTGTAGAAGAGAGACATTACTGATGTCACATCATGCTGTGGATATGGAGCCTCCATAGGCATCACCGATTTTCATAGTAAATGGACAGGGCATCTATTTTGTGTGTTTTCGGAAACACATGCCACACTTTTAAAGTTGGTCATAATGATGCTCACACTTGGAGGCTTTCAGTGCTCCCCAGAGATGCCTGAGTGCCAAGCAGGCACCAGGGCCCAGGTCACTGGGATCTGTCAGGCTTCCTTGAAATCTCTGACCTCTAACCTGGTCCTCCACGTCTGCACTGGGTCTTCATATTGCTCCTGTGGCTGTGTTCGATGCCGAAGGGAGCGTGACAACAGGGTAAAGAGGCATTTCAGAGTGGTAGCTGCCAGCCCAGGGCTGCTGCCTAATGTGATGAGCCTGGTTGCTAATGCAGGCTGACACAATCCATGATGGGCTGTATAATGGGGAAGGGCTCAGAGCAGGTGTCTGGGGATGGAGCCCTCTGATGCTTTGCACAGATAAGGGATGTGTGCGTGTGCGTGTGTGTGTGTGCGTGTGTGTATCTGTGTGTGCATGCATGGGTATATGCATATGTGCACAGGTATGTGTGGAGGGAGTCCCTGCATCACTCTTGTATTCAGGTAAAGGCTTGTCCTCTGCCCTTGATATCCGCATAAGGAGGGCCCTCGGCAGCTCAGGAAGGACCCAGATGGGTGGACTAGGCAGCCATGTAGAGACCGTGATTCTCGCATTGTTTGATTGTCCCTTCCGGGGCCATGCAGAGAGACGAGCAGGGCATGATTTCAAGAGTGACAGGCAATGTTGGGGCTTTCTGTGGAGAGTGCTGTTCTGGCAGCCTTCCTGTGCTACGAGCCAGCCATGGTGTTTAGAACCCCAGGTGTCAACTCCACCCTAGCCATGATCTCATTCAGCTTCTCCGGAGCCAGCCTTGGAAGGGGCTCCATTTGCCACCCTATAGGGGAGGATGCAGCCCAGTGTTACAGAGAGAGCAGGCTGGCCTCGAACCTGTGACTCGCCTACCTTAGCCTCTGAATGCTGGAATCATGAGCAAACGCCCAGCCAGGCCTGGCACTACTTAACTCAGCTGATGCTTTTATCCGAGGTTTCCTGGCAGCAGCTGAGACGGCACCTAGAGTGACCCAAGCTGGGATACAGCAGTGTCCTTTCTAGGGCAGCATGCATCCCTCCAACTCCTCTGCTCAGGTTCAGTGTCTTCCTGAGGTTGATTGTGCATGTGAGTATTCTCACACACTTGTGTATGTGATACTGAGAGGGATCAACACAATCCCATTTTCCCTGGGCACCTGGCATCCTGTTATTATATCCACTGATTGATTTTCCCAGGACAAACAGCAGCCCGAGTCTGACCTGTCATAGGCTTACAGAGAATCACTCTATTCAATTCTGCTTTCCAGTGGCATCCTCTCAGATGGACCTTTTATGAACAGACCCACATTAAGTGGCACCCCTTTTTCTACTTCCTGAAATGTTTTAAACACTTAATCCAGTCACCAGTGAATTATCTTATCTTCACGATTCCCTAAGGGACAGACAAGAAAGGTGAGGCACAGAATGGTTGAGTAATTAATCTAAAGTCACACAGCTAGCCCCAGGCAGAGCAAATATACCTGCACTCCTTGGCTCAGTAGTCAGCCTGACTCTCTCATCTCCTGGTTCTGTACCAGGCTGCATAGATACTCAAGGAAGGGATGCTGAGCTACACTGGAGTTCAGTGGGAACTGCCCAGGAGGTATCACCCAAGGGGCCTTGCATCTCTTAGGGAGGTGGAGGGCTCTTAGGAAGGCGAGAATGCTGACAGAGGATGGACTAAAAGTCAGATTATGGGGGAGTGTCTATGCTCCTGAGAGTTGGACCAGTAACTTAATTATTCTCCCAACAAACACGATTAGATTTCTTCTCTGTACCACGCATGTCTCAGGGCATACACAGTCAACCTTGTTTCTGTGGAGTCTCTCTCTGTCTCTCTCTCTCTCTCTCTCTCTCTCTCTCTCTCTCTCTCTCTCTCTCTCTTATGACATGGCCTTTCCAGGAAGCCTTCTCTGAAGGGTGCCATGCGAGCAGATGCTAGAAGGACATGAGGCAGGGGGACCCACAGGTGCAAATGCACCAAGGCTGAGGCACTCGAAAAGCATCAGAGAACAGTGAAACTGGAAAGGATGCGATGAGCGGAGGAGGGCTGGAGAAGATGCCACGGTTAGGGTGAGGAAGCTCGGGAGACTGGGAGGAGCAGCCCACCCACACTGCCGAGGAGCCTCTGTTCTCATTGTAATGAAACCTTGAACAATATGGACGCTTGTCCAATTATCCAACCCACCTGGGTGGGGAGGGTAGAATCTGGCGTGATGCACCCACTATTAAAGGGTAATTCAGTGTAACAAACCAGATCGAGTATGTACAAAGACTGTCAAATAAAATAAG